GCCCAGACACTAGCTGATAAATCAGCTCCGTCTGTGCTCCCCCCTGGCTGTCACCCCCTGAGCTCCTCCCCAGGGCACACGTCCAGGCCCCGCTGCTCCACCTACGGGCTTATATGGTCCTGGTGGCTGTAGGATGGGAGATCCCCCATCCCTGCCACTTGCATCAGTCCCTTTTGATAAGGGCACAGACCCAGCCGAATTCCTGCAGCGTTACAATGACCCAAGGCAGCCAGCATGCATGCCTCGCTCCCTTCGCTCATCCCCCTCACCTCTTCGCTGCCCCTCCCACTCCTCTCTCCTGTATGATAATCCAGGAGGCCACTTGTCAGTTTTTCCATAACCATCTGCCAGATCAGTCACTGCTTTCTGGGCTCTGCACAAGGTGCCCAGCTCCCACTGAGTCAGGGCACTGCTGAGGGGAAGCTCGCAGGGTACGGAGGCTACCTGTGCAAAGCAGCCAGGAGGCTGTGTACGGATGTCAGGCAATGTCCTGGCCTGTCTCCTGCAGCTGATTCGGGTGTAAGTTAGATCGGCTCTGCCGATTTATCAGCATTTGGGTTCTGAAGTAGCAAGACGCTCCTGTTGGTGCTTCCCTGCACGGTAGCCCCACAGCAGACCTCTGACAGGGCCCCAGGAGGATCCTGCCCTGGGGCTTGTCCCCCTTTATCATGCTACCCAGGGGGCTGTTGACTCACCTTCGACTCACTCACAGCAGTGGGAGAGAGGGCACAACCAGCCAGCCCAATCCACTGGGGACAGAGTGGGAGGCAGGGGTGAGCCCAGACCTGGAGATTCCTCGCTTCCCCAGCTGTAGCGGTGTCTTCACTAGACAGCCCATCCCTGAGGCCTAATCGCGAGGGGCTGCTTGGCTCTGCTGGGAGCCTCGGGGCCAGAGCAGGAATCGTCCCGAAAGAGAGATGGTTAAAGTGTCCAGAGAGGGTCAGAGCCAGGGTGAGGAGTGTCTGGGACCGGCAGGGCACTGCTGTGGGGAAGTTCACATCACTGCAGCCCCCTTGCTG